TTCTGCGGGATTTTGCCTTGGCTTTCTTCTGTATGTGATTCAGTATTGGCTTAGCGATGAAAGATGAACGATGTAAATAGATTTAGTTTTAGACGGATAAAGATTCCACAGATGATTTCATGAACAACAAGAATAATTGTCTCATGTCTGAAGCTTAACAGAGCTAATTATGTAAAAGTCCGTTAACTCCATTCTCTGCGTTTTAGGCTTTAAAAAGGCGATTCAGTGCGGATTGGTAACGAAACCAAATTAAGTCAAGTGATGGAAAAGAATACAAATTACAGTATATTAACTTCTATAGACCAGAAAGAATCTTTTTGACACTTCAGTGACCACGTTCAACTGTCACACATCATTATTTTCTCTCCAAAAAACCACCTTGATGGGATACACAACAGCATCCCACGCTTATTAATCTCTCAAAATCTACCAGGACTTGAAATACTTTATCTACTTTTTCTAAAATATTTGACTTGAAATACTCTTATCTATTTTTTCTGAAACATTTGATGTGACAAAAGTACTTGATCTCATAGTGAATCCGACTGCTCCGCTCCTAGTTAAAAACTGAAAACTGTCACCACAAACTTTCTTGCTCAAGACTGGGAATAGGTCGGCAGAAAGCTGCTCTTAACCTTGTTGATCAACTCCTTGAATCTGCGAACCCCCCTCTCCTCTCTTCTGATTAGCTCCTGGCTGCTGCTGAATGCAGCTTTCAACAAGTAACAACATCAAGGGAAAGAGGCCAAAACCTATAATGGAAAAATGGAATTGAATCTTCACTTCATGCAAATCCTCTAGATCTAGAAGAGAAACCTAACTCCTGGACAGACATATCCACCCTTGAAGCTAGTAAATCCAACATGCCATATATTAATTTACCCTCTGGATAAGATCTTTCACCAGCAACAAATGCAGAAACCCGATCCTTAACCTTAATCCATGACCATCCTGGCTCCTTGATAACCCCCTTTGACCTCACCATCTTCCTAACATCTGCTGCTTCTCTCCACTTCCCTTTGGCAGCATATATGTTAGCCAGGGGCTATGAGTCCCTGCACAATTTGGATCCATTTCAAGAAGCTTTTCTGCAGTGCGTCTTCCACAGTCAACATCACCATGGACTCTACATGCTCTAAGAAG